TAACAGATCAGTGGAAGTTAGCATAATTTACAAAGCTTATGTACCTTTAATCTATGTACCACTTAACATACATGTAATTGATATTTGGAAACTGTACATGATGAAAACTGTACCAAGTGAAACAAATATGTTGATAAGGGCAGGCACAGCACATGGTAATGGCTTTTAACAAAAAATATTCCGTAGACATAGAATTTTGTTTTATTGCCCTGGGATATAACAAGAAACTGTTAAAATTGTCACTTTTAGAAAATAAAGGTCAATCATGATGTGCATTTCAATGTAGCTTCAGGGCGAAGTGTCATGAAAACGGAATTTATTGTAATTCAATTTTGTCTGTATACGTTTTTTTATTATTTATAATATATATAGTATATCTATTGTTTTTAAATCGTTTTTTTTGTTTCATATTGTCTATTTACCACTGATAAATAGAACAATTTAATCAGATACATACATGTATGGTAAATGAACATGAAAAGTGATTTTTCAATGAAAAGATGGATGTTATTTATTTACGAAAAATTACGTATTAAAATGTAATAAAGTTGTTATTTATAAGAGTAAGAAACTCCATAACCAATGATATTAACACAAAAAACAGTGGATGCTGCATAAACAGAAATTTAATAGTACAAGTATGGCATTCATCAAATTCTAAAATGCAAAATGCATGAATTAAAAATTTTGCAAATAAGCAACCAATTCAAATTTTCACTAACTAGTATTTAAATAAATAAAACTAGTAGATTGAAATGAAAATTTTAATTTTTGTACATATGTATTTATCATTGAAGGCAATATATAGCATGATCTCTAAAAAGCACTTTGCAAATTAATCCAATCATGAGAGACAAGAATGAGAGTTCATCAATTTCAACATTACTGCAAATTAACTTCCTCATTCCTTGAGGTTTGTGATTCTTAATTGCTTTATTTCCTAGAATACTGATAGAATTTTTTTTTTTTTAAGCAGGGGTGGATAGTGGTTATTATATAAGGGTCAATTTTATGTATATTCTGTTCTTTCCCAAATGATAGACAAAAAACATTGACAGTCCTTGTGTTAATATGTGATGTTAATCCAAATGTCTTTGTCTTTGTGACACATGACATAGATCACCTTATTCTAACATTGATTCAGAAAGCATGTACATGTACCATTCACACATGTCTTAAATCTAGTTCTGAAAAGATAGAAATGCTTGAAATTTTACTAAAACGTCAGTTAGTTTCATCTTGAGGCAAAAATGAAATTATATGAATGTATGGCAACACACAGTCTCATGGCATATTGTTAAAAGATAAAATGGTTTAAAAATAGCATGCATGTATGTGAAAAGAAAACAACCACTTTGAAACAATTTGGTATAAAGTACAGCCATCTGTGTATTTCAAAATAGCATTTTTTACCAAACATAGCATAAGTATTTACTAAAATTAGGGAATTGAACTTATCAGAAAATGAACAAATCTGTAAAAGGTTCACTCAAGGTGTCCACATACATGTATAAAATGTCAAATCAATGGGGTTTGCCATTTTCAAGAAGTAGTCTAAATAGAATTTTTTACTGAAAATGAAAAAAATATTCACTAAAATTAGGGATATTACCACGAAATAAACAAATCTGAAAGAGATCTACCCAAGGTACATATACATCAAGTATCAAAGCAAGCAGACTTGCTATTTTCAGGAAACAAGCATCCTCTCGGCTGAGATAACTCTGCTGTTAGCAATGCACATTTCAATTAAAGAACTGCAGATATCATTAGAAAAAGAACAAATCTGAGAGAGGTCTACATGAGGCACCTATGTAGTATCAAAGCAATCGGACTTGCTGTTTTTAACAAGTTGTCGAAAATATCACTTTTTACCCCAAATGACAAAAACATTCATCAAAATTAGAAAATTGAAGATATCATCACGAAATGAACAAATCTGAGAGAGGTCCACATGTAGTATCTATATATATATATAATGTCAAAGCAATTTGATTTGTGGTTTTTAACAAGAAGTCAAAAATATCACTTTTTACCAAAAATTTCAAAAATATTCATCAAAATTAGAAAATTGAAGATCTCATCATGAAATGAATAAATCTAAGAGAGGTCTGCCCAAGGTACATATACACCAGGTATCAAAGCAATAAGAATTATAGTTTTCAAGAAGAAGTCAAAAAAGTAAAAAGTTGACATGGACAACCCTTGACAATCACTCATATGATAAGCTCTGCTTGACAAAGTCGACAGCAGAACTAAAAAATTAAAAAATGTAAAGTTGACACCAGCAGACAGCGGATAATTAGTAAGATGAACAGTCTAGCTTTGCGGACTAAGTCAACAGTGAAGCTAAAAATGGCATGCATCAAAGTCTAATGAGGTTCTACGTATGTGTCCATATATTCAGGTTCAGGAATGGGGAATTGTTACCAGAATTACCAATCAGTAAGTAATCTTGAATTAGAAGTGAATGCATCACATGATTCTATGAAAGTGGTCCAGGAATGACGGAGACACACAAGACAAACAAATGTAGACATGACACACTTGCTTAAACACATCAGTAAAAATACATGTAGTACCACCTAGACTTAACTATCAGTATTCAGAAATATATGAATAAAGGGTTTCCTACTTTAAATTCCACAAGGCATTTAGAAAATTGATTTCAGCGTGAGAATACCAAATGACTAATTAGGCGTCTTGAGGCATTACAGTCGATAATAGTTTAGATGTAATAGAAGGAAGCGTGATCAAGTTTAAATTCTTGATGTCAAGTAGCTTTGATTAGTCTCAATTAGTATTTGATTGAATCCCTCTATCTCCGAATCACATAGCGCTAACATGGACTCAATTGCATGGTGGTAGACTGCATGCAGATTCAAGCATTTAGGTTGTTTGCCATTCAAAACACACAACGTTATGCATTTTCCCCTGTCACGAATGTAAATTAATGAAAAACTGTCCAGACAAGTCTTGTTGATATTCATGTGCAGTATCACCTGCATGGAACTTCAGTATATCAGGTAATGAACCATCCGAACAATAATACAATATACAAGACTGGGATATCTACGAGTCTATAATGTCTGACAATCATTATAAATGCAATATATACTACAGACCAACATTTAGCTGGCTTTCAAAATCACCATATACCTTCCATATAATCTTCCTAATATTTCCCATTTTATTTACTCAAGTAAAATCTACAAAGCAACAAGTATTTTCCACTGCACAGTTCTCTTTGTGTATTTAAGAGTAAAATCTATTTAAAGCATATACAGTGCAGGGCATAAAACTGTACCTCAGCTTAAAGCATATACAGTGCAGGGCATAAAACTGTACCTTAACTTAAAGCATATACAGTGCAGGGCATAAAACTGTACCTTAGCTTAAAAATGCCTTGAGGTGACTGTTGAATGATTATTGTTAAAACTAACTCATTAATAATAATTAGAACTAATATTGATGTCACAATACCATTTCTAGATTGGTCAATTTTAATTCTAACATCCATTTTGATTTATAAAATTCATATTTTTATAAATCATAAACTTGAAACAAATTATACACATTTGTTCTCATAAAGACTGTTATGATATATACAGATACATGTAAGATCTCTTCTGCATTCTTGACTTTCATCTAACAGCTGCAATTAGCAGTTTGCCTGGTGGTAATGAGTCCAAACAAATACAAACTAAAGACATAAATGAGAAAAAATATAAACTGACCTGTCACTGTATATGGATAATAATTCCAAGCTTTTTCTGTGATGTAAAATATTCTTGGAATTACTGCGCGTACCCAACTAGGAAGCCGACTGTTGAGAGAATATATCAGATTAAAGACTGTAATGATATTAGTGTCATTGCATCAACAAATTTAACAGTGAATGTCTTGCCATTTGATGTAAAGGCAGTATAGGTAAATAAATACAGTTTAATGAGGTGAAGGGAGCCTTTAATTGGATAGAGGTGAAGGTAGCCTTTAATTGGATAGAGGTGAAGGGAGCCTTTAATTGGATAGAGGTGAAGGGAGCCTTTAATTGGATAGAGGTGGAGAGAGCCTTTAATTTGATAGAGGTGGAGAGAGCATTTAATTGGATAGAGGTGAAGGGAGCCTTTAATTGGAAAGAGGTGAAGAGAGCCTTTAAACAAGCACAGGTGAAGGAAGCCTTTAATCAGATAGGTGAAAGGAGCCTTTAATCAGGCTATTCAGACAGGTTAATTCAGATCAGCAAATAAAATATACATATATATCCTCTCAAAATTGCTAGTATTTTTATTAAAGTATGTTATGATATTCAAGTACAGTAAGTATGTATCTGCATAAAGTAGAGCATACATCAAGGGAGCAGACCACTCAATCCCAGTGATGGGAAAACAGATTACAGAGACAAGTACACACAATTTTAATATACGAAACCTAATACATTAGCTTCATGATTGACAAGCTGCATATTACATGCTTTTCCCTTCAGGTTTCCACATGCTATATCTTCATCCAGTACATTTGTATTCCCATGTGCATATGTGTATTCACATCTAAATTGATTCATGCAATATTCATGGACCAAAAGATGAATAAAATACATAGCAATCTTTCCCCTGACCTTTTCAAAACGGGACTACAAGCCATACCCCGTTGCTACGAGGAGCATATTCCATGCCTGTATGCACATTTGATTTTCAATAAATGCAAAGTTGAAAGTCAATGGACAATAAATATACATTGCTCACCAATCTGGGCTAGAAAACCAATGAATATTCACATATTTGTGTTACTTGGCTGCCACAACAAATGTGACACCTATGTTGAAATCATTTCCATGGATACTAATATCGGTTATTCCCATAATTGTGAAAATAATTATATTAATCAGCATGAAGGACATGTGAGCAAAGGAAAACTACCGCATACAATGTTTTATTGACTTACTTTGAGAGGTGTATTCGTTTTTCTGTATACCTTCCAGTACCGTGTTTGGGGTCTTCATGAGGTTCATTTTTAATAACTTCAACACCTTCACCCTTTTCACTTTGTTCATGACTGTGCTTTGCAATCATGTACAGTTGTCCAATATTATACTGCAATAACAAAAGTTATGAATAGGTATTAATGAAGATGGCTAAATGTTCTCAAGACCAAAGAGTTGGACATACAGCAACACACTGAGAAACGTTTGGTATGTGCCATTATGGTGTGTTGAATAGATCCCTGGAGAAGATCTCCAGTTTCCAACTCTAACAAGACTTGGGATCCTGCATTGAAATGATAGCCCCCAAATCAAGTTGGGTCAGCTTGCTGGGAAGTCTTCAAAAAAAAAAAAAAAGGCATCTGAAATACTGTGACCCCTGAAATCCATTATTTTTTCATTTACATTGGAATTTGTAAATAAAATAGAGAGTTTAATTTTTTTACATTTTGTAACTATAGTACAAAGTTTTCAAGATACAAATATCAATTATGATTGACTGGAGCATGCACGTTTGACTGACTGGTGCATCAAAGATGCGCAAGGGAATTAGCACAATTAGTTGCATCACAGAAAATTCCTGTTGGCGTTGACGTCATATCATTCCACATACACATGTACTGATAGTTTAAAACATGATTTGATACCCCTTCCATTACGTGTATATTCAGTATTCTAATTACAAACATAACAAGCGTATCTACACAGTGTGATGTAATACTGAACAGATCAAAAATGCATATCACATACAAGTATGTTGACGTCACGAACTGCAAAACTTTTTTTTATTGTGCGTGCTACCAAAAGATTGCCTAGACCTTCTGGTTTTCATATTGTCCAACAAAAACTGATAAGGTTAAAATCAATTGTGTTGGCAAGTGTGTGTGTGTGTGTGTTTATGTTCGGAATTATTTTTTAGTCACTAAAAAAATTCAAGTATTAAAATATCGTTCATGGAGCAGAATCGTCGCACAATGTATTGCAAGATGCTTGCTTAAAATAGAATGTAGTCATGCAACAAAACTAGCATATTGACAAGTTTGTTTCTGCATTATTTCACCATTAGTTCCAACTACACCACTTTGTAATTTTTAGACTGGGGAAATATATGGAAGTGATAAATATATAATTCCATATTTTATCTTAGATTGACGTCAGCAGATACTCATGATAACCACCAGAGTTTATCAATCTGAACCATGGGATTAATTTAATAGTTACAAACCTTTAGGTATATCATGTGTATGGCGCCCTCTAGCAGCATCAGATAGAGAATAGTATTTGGGTGCTCTAAATTCTGGAACTGAGTCTTACTAAAACTGGGTAAGTCACTGCACATAAAGTGTGTTATTTTATGTGTTTAAATTTGTAATTCCATCATGATCTCATCAAACATCATTTAATCTTTTTACCAACTGTTTCTCGCCCAAATTTGTCTGCACTTTTCTCGTATATAGTTTTCAATATTTCTGGAAATGAACCCTAATTTTGGAACTAACAAAAATTTGTGCCAATCTTCTGAAGAAAAGTGCAGCCTATAAACAGGACTACTTTTTTGAATTTGTGATGAAGAGAGGGAACTAGTTGTGAAAACTTTAATGGGCATACATTGCATTACTTCAAACCATGGATCCTACAAAGGTGTCATGTGATACATATTTCTATTTTTTTGGAAACATTGATTAATTGATTAGCATTTAGTTCCTGCAGTAATTTCACATTTTTTCTTACCCGTTGCCATGGGCCATTGCCATGGAGTTTCAGTGAAACACCCACAGTTACATTGTATTGACAGATCCTTGTAAAGTCATAAGCTTAAGCTGAAGACACCAGTGTCATTAGATGTAACACATACGTGTGGGTGTAATTACACTATATGGCTGTGTGATTAACTATATTTAGCTAAGTGTTCAGTAAACATCTTCTAAGATATAAAATATAAAATATATTAGCAAAAGCATTAAGGGTTGGTGAGAGTGAAAGCTTACAAATGTGAATTTTTAATTTTTTGTTCATGCATATTTCAACAGTTTAAAAGCAAGTATGGTATCCCAAGAGTGCTACATAAATATGAACAAGTTTTGATGCATGGATGAGTCAGTTAAATGAAGCATAACATGGTCATAGCAAGTCTCAGATGACAAGACATTTCCACCAGTACTAATCAAAGATAAAAATAACTGTTCTAAGGGGATAAATTCATGTCAATAAAAAAAGGATATAACTTGCATAACTGTATTGTCCTCTGTTGCCATGTGGAATTGAATAAATAACAATATACTGTAGCCTCAGTATATGCAAACCATGTCGACATTCCACTTTAATGGCGTCTGCAAAATTTAGAGCGAATTTGGATATCAAAATACAAAATGTTGAAAATTTAAATATGGACAGGTACAGCAAACGTGATTACTGTGACAATCAAAACAATATTTTCAATACAGATGTGTGGTATGAGAAGCTGACAAGATCTCGTCCACAAGAATTGATGGTATTAAACAACACACATTAAGCACACTAATTGAATAAGTAAACATATAACCGGGTCAACGATGGGGTCAGCAGATGATTATATGACATCTTAAATATTCTTGTCAATAAACATGTTGAAAATAGTACTGTTGTCACAGGACTTTTGTGCCAGGTTGTTGGAGACCATATTGCAGTTCTTGCCGATAAGATCACAGTTCAATTCAAATCAGCAAACACACGATTTTGAAAGTAAAATCTTAAATTTGTGATAACAAAACAAATATTAACTGTTAATTATTAACTGCGAAGCATATTTATGTGCTGCTGCAACCGTTTTTTTCTCGCAATGCTACATTGAATCCGTTTTGCCGTTCATGTGCACGATAAACAGCAAATGGATATAGTTTCAATATAGCAATTACAATTATCATCATATGCATATTGTTTTCCATGTTTGGGTCAAATAACAGATCGACAAATGAGGGCATGATTTCGGCACAAGCAGAGTGGATCCCAAGTGGGTTCTGGCCAACGCGAATGTAACTGCTGTAATCTCTCTGCAAACACAAAGGATTTAAAATTTCGGCACATACCAAAATGCTGTAACGTGAACGTAGTACATATTGTAGCAAATATGATATACAAGTATGATATCAACTACTGCAAATTAGACAAATCCGACAGCAATCGTGAATGTCTGCCCACTGAATCAATAAGTACAATGTAACTCACTGACAAACAAGTTCTATTCAAGGGATTTAGCATGAAGTATGTATCCATTAATCTGACAAACTACTGGCTAAATACATTAAATGTCGTATTTTCCAATTTTGTTTGTGAAAAAAGAACTTAATTAATTTGATTTAAGTGTAGGATGACATCAGTAATGGAACAGAAACAATGTACATTCCCATTAATATAATCAAAATGTGCATCTGGAGAATACAGGTATCTTTCTAATCTAAATAAGATTATTTGACAAATATATACTAAAATATCTAGGCAACAGGAATACATAAAAACAGATACATGTACTAAGATAATTCTAATTAAAAGATTTAAAAAATCAGCCTCAAATAAAATTGAATATTTGCTGTAGGAAAGGTAACCAATGCAAATCTATTCAAATATTTAGTTTTGGTTTTGAAGCAATAATAGTTGTGTTCACGTTACACGAAGTACGGGCTAAGATTTAAGCTGATTTAGGCTTATCTAGCATATTTGCATTTCGGCTAGACCCAATTGCGTCCACGCACAGGGGGGGGGGGCAGTCGTTAGCACGGGCTAAGGGCTGCCATTAGTTGGTGACCTTTGGTAAGCCGCTATTTACGAACGAAAAATGGATGACATGCGCGAGGTTCTATTTCTGCTGCTGGCATGTTTCGTTCTAATTTTGAAGCGACGTGCACAGGAACGCGAGAGAAGATGGACCACTTATTTGGATGCACATAAACAGTATACAACGGGCGTAACAGAATACAGTGTTTTATTAATGCATGTCGTAGACAGCGAACCAAATTTATTTTGTCTACGATTGGAGCTGCTGTACGCTCTACTACAGTGACCCGATTAGTGTGGAAGTGAGAGCGGAGTAATGACTGGTGGAATAGTGTCGTTATACGAACATGGGACAATTTTCACACCCAAAGGTCGCCGCAGAGGGCGCTTAGCCCTGGGCTAAGCGTTCGCGCATACTTCGTTAGCCCGTGCTAAGGTCTAGGCCGCGTCTTAAATTCGGATCAGATTTAACCCGTACTTAGCATTCCTTAGCCCGTGCTAAGCGTTCACGCACGTTTTCTTAGCACGGGCTAAGGAATTTGACCTCTTAGCCCGTGCTAAGGAGCTGTGCGTGAACGCAACTATTAGGGGTCAAGTTTAAGCTTAGATAATTGCTTAAATGTTCAGACAAAAGGACAAAAGTACAATAAATATATGGTCATAACCTAACCTTATGTATACCATGTGAATAAATCAGCTTGAAATTGAACTTTTACATGTAAGTATCTATGAGTAAAGTGAAGCATATCTCACTTTTGATTCACAAAGGAGATAATGTCATTAGTAGGCAGATAAAAAGAAGTTGTATTGTACATGTACAATGTATGAGAGAGCAAATACATGACATATCAACAATAAAGTAGTGGTTTGTACATACAATGCAAATCTATGACAGTCACATTAAAATGAATTGTATACATAAGTACACCATTTGTAAAATTAATTTGGTAAAAAAGTCAAGTGTGAAATGAATTGCTCTCAGATTAAAAATACTGATACAATGAAACCTTTCTAAACTGAACACCAAAGCAACTGATACAGTAAAACCTGACTAAACTGAACACCAAAGCAACTGATACAGTGAAACCTTTCTAAACTGAACACCAAAGCAACTGATACAGTGAAACCTTTCTAAACTGAACACCAAAGCAACTGATAAAGTGAAACCTTTCTAAACTGAACACCAAAGCAACTGATAAAGTGAAACCTTTCTAAACTGAACACCAAAGCAACTGATACAGTGAAACCTGTCTAAACTGAATACCAAAGTGACTGATACAGTGAAACCTTTCTAAACTGAACACCAAAGCAACTGATACAGTGAAACCTTTCTAAACTGAATATCAAAGCAACTGATACAGT